TGTCTACAGCCAGCCACCACGGCCCTGGCGTGTCTTCCTGCCCAGATCTGCCGGATGGAAGCGAGCATTGCTTGGAGCTGTGCAGCCCCTGCCTTTCCCAAGTTACCACATGACATTTCAAAATCACCTGCAAACCTAAATCCAGTGAGCACCTGCAGACGACACACTTAACAGCTCAGAGTGATTCAGCGGAAGCGATTTTCCAGTGAAGATCATCATGTGTTAGTGCGAAAAGGCGAGCACCCTTTTATTAGCATTGGAAACTCAAGGAAAGCGTCACTAAACCCATCCATGCGGTATTTCAGTAGATGGCTAAGAAACAATATCCACAGCTGGAAGGATAGACTTGGACAGATTGCACCCTCACCGAGTTCACCCACAGAACCAACTCTCTTGGAGAAAGATGGCTGCTGGCCTCTTCCTGCGTATTGAATAAGCAGCCCCCAGAGCCCTGGCCCTTGTCCCCACACAGAGGACACCAGAACTCAGAGCTCCCTGGTCTTCCTTTATCTATACACCTAACCTTGGGGAAATCTCCTGTTTTCACTCTGTGACATTCAAATTTATACTCCAGCCCTGACCTCCCCTGGGGCTTCATGTAACCAACAGCCTCCTTAGACTGTCCACTCAGACATCCAATAGGCACCTTGAGGCTGGAATGGTCAAACGGAACTCTTGATCTTCTCCCCTTCCCCACTTTTATCTTACTGCATAGGAAATCATCCCCAAACCTAGCAGCTTAAGATAATAATCATCTATTTCACCAACAAACCTGTGATGTCGGCGTGGTTCAATGGGAACTGCTCCATGAGCCGTCAGTTGGTACAGCTGACTTGGGGCTGAGGACCCACCTTCAAGCTGGCTCACTCATGCAGCTAGCAGGTTTTGCTGCTGTCACCTGGGAATTCAACCTGGCCTAGGGGTGGGAGACCAAGATTCCTCTCCTCTGGCTGCCATGGCTTCCTCAAGGCCTAGTGGCTGAGTTCCAAGGGAGAATATCCCAAGGAGAAGTAGAAACTGCTCATGTCTAAGTCCTGGGCCTTGAAACTGGCAAAGGGTTACTTCTGCCATATTGCTGGTCAAACAGTCTCAGAGTCCAGGTTCAAGGGAGGAGACATAGACCCCAACTTTCCATGGAAGGAGCAGCAGAGAACTGGTGGGCACGTTTTAAAGTTGCCGCATGTCCCAAACCTGCTCCTCCCTGTCTTCTCCATCTCCTGGTTATTCAAGCAATTAGGAGGTGTCTTTGCTGACCCAGCCCTCATTAGCATGTGTTGTTGACTCTCCAAGACATGTCCAGAATCCTTCATCTCTCATCTCTCATCTCTATTACCGCCTGAATCTGAAGGCACCTCACCTCCCACCTGGTTGACTGCGTGGCCTGCCCACTGCTTCCTCTGCCTCCATCCTGCTTCCTAAAATCCATTTATGCAGCAGCCAGAGCTACTTTTTCAAAACACAGATCAGATCATCTCACTCCTCTGCTTAAACCCACTCAAAAGCTATACAACTTATTTAGGATTAAACCTGAACCAGGACCAGCAGATGGCATACTGATTATGTCATTGGACTCCCACGTAGTTGAACATGGTTTGAGTCCCGGACCCGGTGGCTTAAAACTCACGTCGTGCATGATATACATGTGTTCCCAAAATGCCGAGAGGAGAATGGAGGAGAAGGGACTGCAGCATGACCATCCTCCCCGGGAGGTGATTTCTTGCTTTCTATCATTCTGTTTCTCCCTGACTCTCTGGTGAGCGCATATGCCCTATAGCAAAAATCTCTTTAAAAAAATAATTAATTAAACCCGAACCCCTTATACTGCTCATTCCTACCTCAAAGGCTTTGCACGTGGTTCTATATCTGGAAAGCTCTTCCCCACGATTTTCCTAAGGCTAGTTCCTTCTTGCCATTCAGTTTGCAGTTGAAATGTCATTTTCCCACAATCCCAAACCCTAAAGTAGCCACTCAACCAGCTGTTACATGAGCCTGTTTTGATTTTCAACACCACACTTACTACTAGCTGTTCCTTTTCACGTTGATTTATTTCTCCCTTGTCTCCTCGTCTTGCTTCTGAAATGTAAGCCCCATGTGGCCAGGGCCCTTATCACCGTGCATGTGCAGGGCCTAGAACAGTGCCTGGCACGGGGCAGATGTCTGATAGGTTTGCATTGATTTAGGACGTAGCCATAGTAGACTCAGCCAGTCGGCCTGCTCACAGGACTGCAGCGTCTCCTAGGGTGGTGGGCGGGAATGAGGGGAAGCCTCCAGATGGCCTCGTAGCTTGTGCTTGTACCAGAAGACAGTTCCAGGGCCTGGAGCTGCTCCCGAGGAGGCCTCCTTCCCACCTGGGAGTATTCCCATCCCTCACCTTCTTGTGGATCAGCAGAACAGAATCACACAGTCCTGAGCATGAAGTGACAAACGTGCTTAGACAGGGTGGCACCGTTCACCTCACCTCACCTCCACATCTGTCCAGTCACTAACTCAGGCTACGTTACATGTGAATTTTCACCTTATGGCTAGACTCAAATACAGGCCAACATCCAACATAACAAATTCCAAGTGCTGTTTTAAGGACACTTTTTTAAATGAAGGTGTTCAAACTTTTGAGGAGAAAGTTTGAAAATGAGCACTTAGGACCCATCCAGATAAAGAATAAATTTGGGTGAGGGAATGTTAAAAAAAATCAATTCTTATTAATAGGTTAAAATATCAACACTTAAGTGAAAAGCAAGTTCAACAATAATGAAATAGTCTTTGTTTTCTTCAGAAATAGTGGTTAAACAGTTTTTAGTACTTTGGTGTAGAGAACTGATTGCATACAGAATTGTTACTGAAATAACAAAACACTCCATCCAATAGGGAAATGGCAGCTTGTGTGAAAGGATTCTTGTTTATTCACTGTAATGAGATTTTTGCCTGGGGATTTAAATGTTGGCAAGTTCGATAATATTGAAAATTCAAGTTCATGTGGGAGAAAATAATTATGAAGCCCCACGAAGCTGACACAAAGTGAGATGACCACAGGGCACTGAGAGGCCAGGGCTTGGTTTCTGGCAGGGGTTGTTAGGGTTAGAGAATGAGGCCACCCTTAGTGGAGCTGATCAGGTCCTGGCACAGAGTCAGTCTCTGAGCTGGCAGAGTGGCAAAGGCAGGCACACAGGACAGACTGGGGCTCTAATACCCCACCTGGACGGCAGACCCACTGTGGAGGGGGACCCACCGCTATCAGCAGGACCCTTGGCAGTACTGACTCAGGCTTGGGGAAATCTCCTTTCACAGAGATATCTCTTACCTACCCAGGAGATCTCATCAGGCCCGAACTCTGCAAGCCCTAAGGCAGTGCCAAGCAGCATGTCCAGAGGTGCTAAAACCAGCACAGTGCATCTGCAGAGGGAAGCCAGCAACTAGGAAGGCTGTCATAGGTGAACATTATACGGTCTCCAGAAGTGCTTAGTTTTTATCATTTAACTTCTAATTCTTTCTGCTTTAAGTATTCTTTAATGATCACTGCTTAGATCTCAAGCTCCTGGGATCAAACGTAGATCACAGAGCCTGGAGACGGCTGTGGAGAACGGAGTCCTCCCAGGTCTCGGGGTGGGTGAATGGTGCCGGGAGAGCTCTCCCCTCACCCTGCCTGGGCCGAGCCTTCAAGAGGTGCAGAGGGCTCCCTTAGGGCTGGAGGAAGCTCATGTTCTGACACACTGCCCCTCTGTGGCCCCCAACACAGACTCGTTGAGGAGTTAGACCAGGAAGGACAGGTGAGTCTCACCTGAGCTGACAAAGTCCAGCTCGGCCAGCCCTTGTTGTAACTACGACATCCGCCCATGGTAGCGAGAAGCAGGTGCCATTGAGGGCCATTCTCAGTCCACATCCTCAATGCTGGGAAAGAAAAACCAAGTTCAATTTACCAAAATATCTGTATTATCCATAAAAACTGAGCTCCAGGGAGCCACTGATACTGGGGGCAGCAATCTCCAACCATGTGCTGGCTGCAGAAGACAGAGGTGCTGTCCCACTGAGCCACAGTAGGACACCTGGACCAAGTGGCACGTGGGCAGTCATTTATAAGGCCTCAAAAACCTGGAAACTTTGGAACGTAGCAATCGGATGAAAGATCTTGGAAACATCTCTCGGGACTCTTGAGCTGTGTACTTGAAATAATTCTGAGGGTGGGCTAGGACATCAAACAGAGCCTTGATCAGTTTCTTATCCTAAAAAAGAACAGAATATTTGTTACTGGGCCAAAATATTTCAATATTCTGACATTTTGCCAATGGAATTAGAATGTCTCAGTATTAGGATGATTAGCTAAAAAAACACTTAGTGAAAATTGTTTCCTCTGATGTTTATCTTCCTTCCTGTTATTTTTCCTCATTTTCTACTCTAAGTATATACTACCACTATACATAAAAATTTAATATATAAAGAACTGATTTTTTCTTAGCCAGATAAAATGTGACACTGGGATTCAGGAATATTTATAGGGCTAGTGATATGGCAAAAGTTTATTGCTAATGTCTTACAAGTGTTAGAGCGTGGGACCAGCAGATGGCATAATGGTTACATCGCTGGACTCCCACATAGTCAACCCAGATTGAAACTCAAACCAGGTATGTGTGTGTGTGTGTCCAAGATCCCAAAAGGAGAATGGAGGGGAAGAGGCTGTGGCATGGCCATCGCCCCGGGGGGTGATTTCTTGCTTTCTGCCTCTCTGTCTCTTTCTGTGTCTCTGGCAAGCACACATGCCCCATGGGGAAAGAAAAAAACTCTCTCTCTAAAAAAAAAAAAAAAAAAAAAAAAAAAGAAAGGAGGGGGGAAAAAAAAAAAAAAAACCCCCCCTTTTTTTTTTTTTTTTGGAGAGGTTTGTGCTATAGGGCGCGTGCGCTCGTGTTCAAACTTTTGAGGAGAAAGTTTGAAAATGAGCACTTAGGACCCATCCAGATAAAGAATAAATTTGGGTGAGGGAATGTTAAAAAAAATCAATTCTTATTAATAGGTTAAAATATCAACACTTAAGTGAAAAGCAAGTTCAACAATAATGAAATAGTCTTTGTTTTCTTCAGAAATAGTGGTTAAACAGTTTTTAGTACTTTGGTGTAGAGAACTGATTGCATACAGAATTGTTACTGAAATAACAAAACACTCCATCCAATAGGGAAATGGCAGCTTGTGTGAAAGGATTCTTGTTTATTCACTGTAATGAGATTTTTGCCTGGGGATTTAAATGTTGGCAAGTTCGATAATATTGAAAATTCAAGTTCATGTGGGAGAAAATAATTATGAAGCCCCACGAAGCTGACACAAAGTGAGATGACCACAGGGCACTGAGAGGCCAGGGCTTGGTTTCTGGCAGGGGTTGTTAGGGTTAGAGAATGAGGCCACCCTTAGTGGAGCTGATCAGGTCCTGGCACAGAGTCAGTCTCTGAGCTGGCAGAGTGGCAAAGGCAGGCACACAGGACAGACTGGGGCTCTAATACCCCACCTGGACGGCAGACCCACTGTGGAGGGGGACCCACCGCTATCAGCAGGACCCTTGGCAGTACTGACTCAGGCTTGGGGAAATCTCCTTTCACAGAGATATCTCTTACCTACCCAGGAGATCTCATCAGGCCCGAACTCTGCAAGCCCTAAGGCAGTGCCAAGCAGCATGTCCAGAGGTGCTAAAACCAGCACAGTGCATCTGCAGAGGGAAGCCAGCAACTAGGAAGGCTGTCATAGGTGAACATTATACGGTCTCCAGAAGTGCTTAGTTTTTATCATTTAACTTCTAATTCTTTCTGCTTTAAGTATTCTTTAATGATCACTGCTTAGATCTCAAGCTCCTGGGATCAAACGTAGATCACAGAGCCTGGAGACGGCTGTGGAGAACGGAGTCCTCCCAGGTCTCGGGGTGGGTGAATGGTGCCGGGAGAGCTCTCCCCTCACCCTGCCTGGGCCGAGCCTTCAAGAGGTGCAGAGGGCTCCCTTAGGGCTGGAGGAAGCTCATGTTCTGACACACTGCCCCTCTGTGGCCCCCAACACAGACTCGTTGAGGAGTTAGACCAGGAAGGACAGGTGAGTCTCACCTGAGCTGACAAAGTCCAGCTCGGCCAGCCCTTGTTGTAACTACGACATCCGCCCATGGTAGCGAGAAGCAGGTGCCATTGAGGGCCATTCTCAGTCCACATCCTCAATGCTGGGAAAGAAAAACCAAGTTCAATTTACCAAAATATCTGTATTATCCATAAAAACTGAGCTCCAGGGAGCCACTGATACTGGGGGCAGCAATCTCCAACCATGTGCTGGCTGCAGAAGACAGAGGTGCTGTCCCACTGAGCCACAGTAGGACACCTGGACCAAGTGGCACGTGGGCAGTCATTTATAAGGCCTCAAAAACCTGGAAACTTTGGAACGTAGCAATCGGATGAAAGATCTTGGAAACATCTCTCGGGACTCTTGAGCTGTGTACTTGAAATAATTCTGAGGGTGGGCTAGGACATCAAACAGAGCCTTGATCAGTTTCTTATCCTAAAAAAGAACAGAATATTTGTTACTGGGCCAAAATATTTCAATATTCTGACATTTTGCCAATGGAATTAGAATGTCTCAGTATTAGGATGATTAGCTAAAAAAACACTTAGTGAAAATTGTTTCCTCTGATGTTTATCTTCCTTCCTGTTATTTTTCCTCATTTTCTACTCTAAGTATATACTACCACTATACATAAAAATTTAATATATAAAGAACTGATTTTTTCTTAGCCAGATAAAATGTGACACTGGGATTCAGGAATATTTATAGGGCTAGTGATATGGCAAAAGTTTATTGCTAATGTCTTACAAGTGTTAGAGCGTGGGACCAGCAGATGGCATAATGGTTACATCGCTGGACTCCCACATAGTCAACCCAGATTGAAACTCAAACCAGGTATGTGTGTGTGTGTGTCCAAGATCCCAAAAGGAGAATGGAGGGGAAGAGGCTGTGGCATGGCCATCGCCCCGGGGGGTGATTTCTTGCTTTCTGCCTCTCTGTCTCTTTCTGTGTCTCTGGCAAGCACACATGCCCCATGGGGAAAGAAAAAAACCACAATGCCCCAAGGGGAAAAAAAAAAACCCCCCCTCTAAAAAAAAAAAAAAAAAAAAAAAAGAAGGAAGGAAGGAGGAAAAGAAAAGGAAATTAAGTCTGATAAAGGTCTGAAATGCACCTCAGCCTGAGGCAGGCCCGGTGTCTGAAAGGGGACAACGTGAGTAAGAGAACCCTCTCCAGTAGTGCTAAGGGAGCTCTGTGGATGTGCCATGTCCCCCGGAGGCACAGACTCACCTTAAGTATTTCTTGGTGGTTCTCGGATGCATAGAGCCTGCCATCTCGAACTATGTCTTCAATGAGTTCCTGGTAGTCCTCTGTTGGAATAAATTAGGGCATATTTTGCATTTTCCTGGCTTAGTTATTTCCAAACTCATTCTTTCTTCTGATTTTCATTTTCTTTTTTTTTTAAAGAATTATTTCCTTTATTTTACTTATCATTATTGTTATTTTTTAAATTTGACCAGAGCGAGACACGGAGAGAAAGAGAAAGAGAGAGAAAGTGAAAAAGCAAGCTGCTATATTCAGGACTTGAACCATGGTCAGCCATGTGGGAGTCCAGTGCCCCCAACCACCACACCACCTGCCCACCCCCTGATTTTCATTTTCTGTAGCTGCTCTCAGAACACTTTCCACTCCGATACGGAGACAGCACTCAGAAGAGAACTTCTCCAGGCTCCCACCACAGCCTCTGCTTACCCACCAGCATGTACCCATCTCTCCAGTCCCCCCTTCCCTCCGACGAGCCTTCGGTACATCCAGTCAAGACCCATCTCCTGGGACACCAGATCTAACTCACTTCACCAAATTAAGGGTTTTATTCCAGTAAGTCTGTTCTCTCTTTCTTATGCAATAAATTTTTTCTCTCTCATGGTAATACAGACATGCTTTAGGACTCTGATCTTAAAAATACCCCTCATTGGGTTGGCTCTGTGGCCTACTGGCTGCCCACAGTGCAAATCCCTGCTCTGGTGGCTTGAAAATGGGCACACACCCATTATGTGTGCATGTGTGCCCCAAATCCTGGCAGGGTGGAGAAATGGAAAAGGGATTGCAGCATGACTTTGCTCCATGGGGGCAGGAAGTGGGGGAAATCCTCTCTCTTTCTGTTCCTCTCTCTCTCTCTCTCTCTCTCTCCCTCCCTTCCTCCCTCCCTGTGGTGAATACACAAGCCCTCTGGCAATTAAAAAAATTACTCCTTGACCTCATTTGCTTCCAACAGTTTCTATCTCGCTTCTCTGCTCCCCTTTGCAGCGAAACTCCCTGGAAGAATTATCGACACCTGCTGTCTTGATTCTCCTTTCTTCATCTCTTAAACCCAGATGAATCAGCTCTGGTTCCCACTATTCATTCAAAACTTCTTGTTGAAGTTACCAATGAACTTCAAGTTGCTAAATCCCAACAGTCAGCTCTTAGTCCTCATCCTGCCTGGGGTATCGGTAGCTCTCCCCTGGCTGGCACCCCTGCTCCTTGATCCAGTTCTTCACTCAGCTTCCAGGCTACCATGCTCTTTGGTCTTCCTTCTGCCTTTCTGGTTGCTTCCCCTGAGGCGTCTGTGCTTTCTTCCCATCCTGCCCCTGACCTGTCACTGCAGGAGGGTCCCAGGCTTGTCCTTGGTGTTCCTCTCTGCTCTGTCTGTCCTCACTGCCGGGTGAGCTCATCCAGGCCCTTCTTTCCCTCCCCACTCCCTTCCTTTTTGTCTGTCCCTGCATATGAGAAACAAGCAAGTTTCTTGCCCATCAAGGAAGACACTTCTCTTGAAATAATGGGCCAGGGGTGGTGAGGGAGGAAGAAACCTATGTTGGCTTTTTTGTCAAGAATTTTTTGTCCTGGGACCAGCAGTTAGTGTAATGGCTATGTCACTGTACTCCCATGTAGTTGACCGTGGTTCGTGTCCCAGACCTGGTGGCTTAAAACTCACGCCAGGTACGTGTGCGTGCATGCCCAAGATCCCAAGAGGAGAACGGAGGCGAAGGAATTGCGGTGTGGCCATCCCCCCGGGGAGGTGATTTCTCGCTTTCTGTCTCTCTGTCTCTCTCTGTCTGTCTGGCGAGTGCATGCGCCCTATAGCAAAAACCTCTCCAAAAAAAAGAGAATTTTTTGTTCTGACATGCACATTACAGGCAGTACTCACAGTACTCCTACTTGGAAGTTTAGCCTATTCCCTGTCAATGGAATTCAAATCGAATATAGGCAAAGCACAATCTTTCCCCAATTCCAGACACAAGAAAAAAATATAGCCCTTTGTATGCATAGCATGTGCTATAAAGCCAAACATGCGCTAAGAACATTGCTGAAATCATAAGGGAGGGGCTCCTATAAAGTCCTCTCAGTAAGAGACGGCACACATAACTGATAATATAATACTCATGATTACTGATCTGATGTGTATACAGGATCATCCGTGCTCTGTTAGCATAATATCTTTCTTCTTATTCTTTTATTTTAGTTAATATAAAATAGGAGTGAGAATAGAATTGTTTCTTTTCTTTTCTTTTCCAATCTGTGTCCCTACCTCAGAAAACTGGCTCTTTTTGATGACGATTTACTATTAGGAATGTCGATTGCTGTCCTGCATTCTGGTGTGATGGGAAACTGCCACCACGCCATATACTTCCAGACTTTTCTTTTTTCTTAAGGTTTTTGGCATAGGGCACGCATGCTCACCAGAGAGAGACACAGAGAGACAGACAGGGAAAGTGAGAAATCACCCCCCTAAGGGGGAATGGCCACGCTGCAATACCTTCCTCTCGATTCTCCTCTGGGGGTTTTTGGCATTCATGCGCACACCCAGAGTAAGTTTCAAGCCACTGGGTCTACGACTTGAACCGGGGTCAGCCACGTGGGAGTCCAACAGCTCATCCACTATGCCAGACTGCTGTCATTCTTTCTTTCTTTCTTTTTTTTTTTTTTTTAAGTGTTTCCTCTGCTTTTAAGAACTACTGCATCTTCTCACTCACTCCAAGTTATTAGAAAAGCAGAAAAGTGCTGTGGACAAGAACTCAGGCTCCGGAACCACAAAGCCCGGGGTCAGTCTCAGCTCTGCAACTTCCGCACACGGTGACCTTGGGCCAGTTACTTAATCTCTGAGCCTGAGTGGCCTCATCTGTAAATCAGGAGGTGATCGTGTCTGCTTCAGGGAGTGCTCGTGAGGAATGTGCCTGCGAACGGCACGTCGGCACATACCTGGTGCTCGGCGACGCTCAGCACTGGTTGGCCACAACTACAGCTCTCACCAGCCTCCAGCAAGGTGGGCACCCGTAACAGCCTCACCGTGTGCTCTAAGTGAGATTTCTATTCTGGGCTTGGAAAGCAAATATCAGGCATGTTCGGAATACATGTTTTAAAAACTAGATTGCATGAAGATGTAAAGGGCTTCTATGCAACCGAAGTATCCGTTTTTGACTATTCTTTGTTGTGACACATGCAGTATAAACTTTCATGTGCCTAAGGGTTTGTGTGATTGCCCCCAATTCAAGCTACAGCTTTTTATTTTAATAAAAGGAGAGGATGAGGATGAGGACGAGGAGAAGGAGGAGGAGGGGGAAGAAGAAGATGACGACCCCCACATTTTCACATGTTACAAAACCCGAGTTTGGAACAGCCATAATAAAGTGCGTGAGCATTGGTGGCATTGATGCTGGAGTCTCTGCCCTTCTGCTTCCTTCCTGACTCCAGATGGGAGAGGTTGCCAGCTAGCCACGTCAGGTACATGAAGCTCTGCCTCTTAGCAGAGCCACGTGGGAGGCATTTGTGCTCACACTAGGGGTCAGATAGATGCTAAGAGCCCTCTTCATGGGCCCTTGGAATTATTTCAGGCAACTGTTGGATAGAGATGGTAATCCTAGCTTTTGTCCCATGTTAGAAATAAGCTGTGTATGGGCGGCCCCATAGCCTAGTGATTAAGGGAGCCAGATCCCACATGGCCAACAACTGCTCAAATCCTGGCCCCAGCAGTTTGAGAAACATGCTGGGCATCTACGTGTGTGTGCCCCAAGTCCCAACTAGATGGAGAGGTGGAGGAGGACAGACTGTGGCATGGCCATACCCCGGGGGAGTTAGCTCTTTCTCTCTTTCTGGTGAGTGCATACACCTGCAGTTAGCTGCTTGGGAGTGTATATGTAATGTGTATATATAATACATACATATATATATGTATGTATGTATATATATAGCCACCACCTGCTGGCCTCTCTTATATGTTCTTTTTTTTTTTCTTTGTAAAGAGAGATATTTTTGCTATAGGGTACATGTGCTTGCCAGAGAGAAAAAGAGACAGAAAGCAAGAAGTTGCCCCACAGGGGAGATGGCCATACCACAGTCCCTTCTTCTCCATTCTCCTCCTGGGATTTTGGGCACACACACACACACACACACACACACACATGTGCCTGGCATGAGTTTTAAGCTGCCGGGTCCGGGACTCGAACCGCGTGGTCAGCTACTTGGGAGTCCAGCAATATAATCATTATACCATCTGCTGGTCCCTATATGTTCTTTTAAGACTCACATCTCTGATACTTTGCTCTATTCCTTCTAAAATCCCACTCAGAGTTAACTCCTGCCCCTTTCCCTATGCTCACACAGTGCTTTACACCTGTCACATCTATAATATGTGTACCTCTTTGTGTTTCAGTCACTAACCAGGTGTTTCAAGCACCCAGCCCAATGCCTGGCATAGTAGAAGCTCATTAAATACTTGTTGGATGGATGGATGAATAAATACATTCATGAATGAACTTTCAGGTCCTCCAAGACAAGGTCTAATTCATAGCACCTTCCTAGTAAATGTTTGTCGACCAAGTTTCCAAGCTAGGTAGGACCCCAGCGTTCAGATGGGCTTCCTCTTCATTTAATGTGAAGAAAATGAAACCAGAGAAGTCACCTGACTTGCTCAAGACCACACAGTGAGTCAGTGGCAGAGCCAGGACCAGAACGTGGGTCTTTCTCCTTCCCTCAGGATTCTATATAAGAAAAGCCACAATCAGAAGCAGCGAATCTTTACTGAGCAATTACTATGTGCTAGTACAATACCAACCCCCCGGGACTCCTACTGAAGTCTCACAGTAAGTCCAATGATGCCCCTGATTTGCATGCTGAGAATGTGAGGTTTAGAGACAGAAGAGACTGGCCAAGCTGGCCGACGCCAGTGCCCAGGTTCTCACCCACCCAGCTCTGCACACGCTCAACAGATTTCAAAAGCATCTTTTCATCGGGGTAGTCAGTGTCCCCAGATGCCTGTTTAAAACTTGGCACTTGTGAGTCAGCGATGTCCTTTCCCCTCATCCTGCCTGCCTTTGTGGGCATGTGTGCCTGTCAGCAATCTGCCAGCTGGCTCAGAAGTAGGCTCTGTTCAAAGCGGAGCCGCTTCTTCCACATGCTGTGGCTCGAGCGCCACAGTGCTTACCGTCATATGTCACATAGGGGACCTGGAACCCTCTGGCACTGTTCCCTTCGTTGGACTTGAACTGAATCCACAGCTTCTTTGACCTGGAGGTGAAGGCGATGGGGCGTTCGTAGGTCTGGCAGGTTTCATATGTTGTCACAGAATTGGACGAAGCTGCCAAGGAAGGTGGGGAGGGGTGGGGTTCAAGACTCATCACTGAGCCGGGGACAACTGAGGGTTCATCTCTCAAACTGTCACACCCGAAAACAAGTTAAACTCAAGAGCTCTCCAGGCTCAGCCAAGCCATAACAAAGGTCCTGGAAACAGTATATTCAGCTGGAGATTGTGGGCCTCAGGGAGGGCTAAACCCAAGGGCCATGGCTAGGCTAACAGCAGAGCCTGGACGGGAGCAGCTCACATCGGAGCCAGGAAGAGGCCCTCAAGTTTCAGAACAGACCTGCTCTGGTAATGATCATTGCCATTTGCCACTGCCCCTAAGTCCTCCTCTTGCAGAAGTCACTGCATGCTTTCAACTTAATCATTAGCTTGCTAATTAAAAAAAAAAAAAAATATTTCTTTCATTGCATTTGTTATTATAATTATTATTATTATTTTTATTTGACCAGAGAGAGGCAGAGAGTGAGAGAAAGAGAAAGCAAGAAAGCAAGCCGCCAGGTCCAGGACTCTAACCACAATTGGCCATGTCAGAATCCAGTGCCCTTAACCAACTTGCCACCTGCTGACCCACTCACCATTTTTTAATAAACAGTAATTCATTGAATTGCAAACACTTTGAAATTTAAAAATTAATAAAAAAGCACCTCATTGTGGGGCCAGCAGATGGCACAGTGGTTAAGGTACTAGACTCTCACGTGGTCAACAGCGGTTTGAGGCCCAGACCTGGTGGCTTGAAAAATCACGCCAGGTGCATGTGCGTGAGTGCCCAAAGGAAAAGGGACAGTGGAGTGGCCATCCCCCCTGGAGGGTGATTTCTCACTTTCTCTCTCTCTAGAGAGCTCATGTGTCCTATGGTAAAAACTTAATAACAACAAAAAACTCACTGAAAAAAAAAAAGTACTAAACTTTCATGGGCTTTAATCTCATTTAATGCTCTGAAAACCACAGAAAATGGGTGCAATTGTTCCCTCTTTTATAAAGAGATTAAGCATTAGCCCAGGTCACAGCAAGGTCAGGATTCAAATGTATACCTGACTTCAGGCATTTTCACCACCAGTAAGACAAGTAGAGATTTCTGTAGTGGCCGCGCCCGTCACTGTCGCTAAGTGCTTTACCAATACAAATTCAGTTAGCCTCATAATAACCCTCTGAGACAGCAACTGTTATTTTCCACATTTTAACAGATGAGGAGACTGAAGTGCACAGAGATTCAGAATGTCTGCCCAAGATCACAGAACTTAGAAGAGGAGGAGCTGGGTTCACGATCTAGGCAGTCTGGCTGCAGCGCCCACTGGCTACACTGCCTCTCAGCTTGTTGACAGCCATGTCTGTGGACACTGGGCCCTGAGAACAGGAGGAGCGGTCCCTTCCTGGTCAAGGGCCTGGTCCATCTCCAAGTTACCAGGTGCTGCCCAGGGTGAGGCAGTATTTGGGACCAGCACTGCATGAGTCTCACTGGTTCTCTATGTCCTCATAGGAGAGGCTCCGGCACACCCCTTGAGCACAAAGGGCAGGACTAATTTGCCAGGCCTCTGGGATTTGGCAAGAGACTTTGTGTGTGTTTTTAACCTAAATTTTGTTTCTTAGTAAACTCTATAAACTTATGTCACATCTCTGTTCTCATACAAGGTGACATTCTAGGCCTGCTCTCACATTTAAAGGCTGGGGAGCAGGTCGGCAGGCTTCCCAGCTGGCCTTAGGAGGGGAGGGAAGCAGAGAGTGAGACGCACAGGTTTTCCGCATCACCAGGTAGTCTCCGCAGTCGTCCTCTATGGGCAGGAAGATCTCAGGGACCACAATCAAGATGCGGCGTTTGGGGGGTGGGTTGATGGTCCAGGTACACTCAGTGTTGGCTGGGTAATTGCCTGGGTAGTTTGGGGATTCGATGTATCCTGTGAAGTCTCCTAGCTCCCCTCCACATCTTCTGTCTGGAATGAGAAATGTCATGAGTTTCGGAAGCCCCAGTTGCTGTCTCTTGGTCATGGCCACCACTAGCCTGGCTGAGAACCACATCATTCCCATTGAGGAGTGGTGCATGGAATGACACTGTCCTGAGAATGAGTCTTCTCATGATGCCTGGGTCCCCTTTGGGACCCAAACTACATGAAGTCCTCCCTGGAATCCATGCTCTGAGTGCCCAGCACCGCTTTCTCACTAACCCAAAGGCCCTCAGGTTGCAGGGAGGTATTTGTGAACGACATGATAAATTGAGCTTTCAATAGTTGCTTACAAAGTCCAAGTGCCAGGGGAGTCCATGGCACAGAACTTCTAGGTCTGTCAAAACAAGAAGAACAGGGCTCATTGCTCAGGGGGGAACATTTGACCCTTTCTCAGAGATCTTCAAGGAAGATAAGACAGACATAATTTTCACTTCTTTCTACTCAAGACCACACTTTGTTTTGCAGTGAGAGGAGAGTTCCAATCACTGATCAGTTGGTGTGGACATGCTGCATACTTACCTCTGGTACCAAAGGCAAAAATTGCACACACACGTGCACAAGCACACACACAAATGCACACACACACACACACACACAACCACCTCAGCTACATCTTCATTTATGGAATTCCCTCCCATCCAATGAATGTTATCTAAAGCTCTAGAAATTTAGACACTATAGAGACAAGGTCCTTGAATTTAAGAGGCTTACTATTTGACACGACCAGGTAAACCTGTGCAAGAGAAGATGAAGGGATTACTCTTCCTCTCTAATTATAACTATGATTGATTATTACCAATAGGAAAACAAAAGCTTTTCTTCTCAGAGGAAGGTGGGGGAGAAGAGAGCAATGGCATGGAGGAGAACTGCCTTACAGCCTGAGCGGCCACCCAAGGACTATACCACATGGCCTGAGGGCCAACCCAGGGCAGGGCGGCAAGACAAGGCAGTGGACCAATCTCAGTAGAGGAAGAATTTTCTAATGCTGTTAACTTCCCCAAAGTCTAATCTAAAAAGTCTGGGATATCACACAAGGTAGTGAGCTTCCTGTCATAGCAGGAGTCAGACTAGACAAGATGGCGACTCCTAAGGATGTCGTTGAAAGGACTTCATGAGATAGAGTAATAGAGAGAAAATCAGATAACCTACCAATCGCAAAACTCAAATGATTGCCCTCCCTCAATCCCAAAAGCCACCAGACTGGGGAGGACTTTCTACTCCCCTGGACTGCTGTCTTAAAGATACTGAATTAGCTCAGATTTACTTTTGAACTGTACTAGAGAATTTAACATAACGTTAAAACAAAGAAATACACAGCATGTCCTGAAATGGTTTGTTTCCCCATTGCTATAAAATACTGATCTCCTGACCCTGGGGTTCAGACTTCCCTTCCTGGTCTCTCCAAGACTCTCTTAAGCACATTCTGTGCTCAGGGCCAGGGGCCTCTGTCCATGAAGGTTCCACTTCCTGCAACTGTGCCCCCACAACTGCTCTCCCTTCCTCCTGCTCTCCCCTAACCCTCTCCACCCACACCTGCTCAAGCGCCCCAGAAGCCCTTCCTCATCCCTCCAGAGTTCACGGCTCCGCCCTCTGCCATCCTGCAGCCTGGGCCCCTGACTTGGCAAAACCTGAGTGCCCAGCCGTGTGCCTGGCACACTGGTCCTCAGACAACATGTGCTGAACAAGGTGGACTACAAGTGAGCCCAGGGAGGACAGGAGGGCACGCACGCTGTGCGCGCGCCCGCGGGAGTGGCCAGGATAGCTAAGCCCCGTTCTTCCTGGAGCTGACAGCGTAGCTGTGAGCCATTGGTAACATCTAAGTGCTCTGTTGAACCCTTCCCACCTCCACCTGGAGTTGAACCCAGGCACTTGCCCCCTGAATTAGGACAGAGAGAGGCCTTAGAGAGAAAGACCTACTTTTGCACTGGGTTATGTTTGTGGAGCCATCAAAGTCAGTTGTGGTATTTCCTGGGCAGGAAACACAATTATTTTTTCCAAATTCAGGCTGGTAGGTTCCTGCGGGGCAGCGGATACATCGGTGAGTGGTAGTGTTGTAGAAATGTCCAGGGGAACACTGAACTGCGGCCAGGAGGATAAGAGAATGAAAACAAAATTAAAAAGATGACCTTTATCAAACGTAACACCAAAGGGTTCAAAGTGTGTGAAATATAAATAAATGTGTGTGTATCTTTTTTTTTTTTTTTTTTTTTCACCCAAAAAAAGGAGGGTTTCCCTACCTATCTGGGGCTACCTAACA